ACTCACACTACTACTACTACTCACACTACTACTACTACTCACACTACTACTACTACTACTCACACTACTACTACTACTACTCACACTACTACTACTACTCACACTACTACTCACTACGACCACTCACACTACTGCTACAAGTAATACATCACCTAAGCGTACTGTGAAGTGACAGTGTTTACACAAGTTGCCTGTTTCGTAATTCATGAACAGAGAGACCAATTCTTAGGCATCAGTTAAGCCAACAAAGAGACAAGTGAATGAGATAAAAGGATTTCCTGACTTTTTGAACAAGTCAACTTATTCCCCTCATTATAGATTGGGAATAAAATTATTTCCGGTCTAGTTTTAAGAAAAGATTTTCTAGAAATTATTATGACGTTACTTGTTTGTAAAAAAGTATATTCTATAATACTGACTGAAAAGTTTATTGGTAAATGGAAAAAGTGAGGATTTTATTTATCACAGGGATGCATATTAGTGTATATCTTGTCACCAATATGAGTTGTGTTGTAGTAGATTTCCGTTTATGACATTCAGTTAACCGTTACTTTGTTAATGTCAGTCACCCTGGAATGAAAACAAGTCTTCCAGTAACATAGATACTATAAAATGAAAGTGTAAAGGTACTGATTACATTCATTAAAAACTCTCACACAGAATATTCTTTTCAATGAATTCTCATCACTTACTACATGTCTAAAATGAGATTGTCCAACATAAAAACAAGCCAATTTTGAGTCAAACATACTTCCTAAATGGAAGATGAATAGGTGTAGCAGATTCTGCAAGAAAACCGCATTTCCTTTCCATACTTGCCAAAACGACAACTGAACCATTATTGTCTCAGTTTCAAGCGTGTTGAGTAGGCATTGGTAAGCTACGAGTTTGCATGTTTTTGGAACACAATGGATGACATTGAAAGTGTGAATAATATCTATATGATGGTCTGGGTCTGTCAGATGGGCTAAGATAGATCCTGTTCACCTCTTTCACTCCCCCATTCTCCAAACCTAACCAGGAAATGTCCACGTATCCAGGTGCACATCTGTCTAATCGTATACCCTATATGACTTACTCCACAGAAACAGTTAAATTGATATCTGTAAGATGAGGAGTTGAGATTAGGTAGGGTAGTCTTTAGTCTTGGAATGAGTATACCAGGATGACCTGAGTGAAATGTTGTATTTACTGATCTAGTTTGATATTTTGGCAAGATGCTAACTGGAGTGTCTTCCTTGAGTTGTAGATGCAGAAACACAGATTTCTTCTCCACTGTCATCAATTCATACCTGAGAATAATTAAACCGATATTTGCCTTGATGGAAGTAATTGTGGAAATGTGATGACTAAGTCACAGTAAACACACACGTTTTCCAAGTTCTTTAGCAACGAAGTAAAAATGCAATACAATCAAAGGGTTAGCTTTTATAGTGAAAACGATTTCTTCCAAGGAGTGTATAATGAAAGAATTATTGTATATCAGTGATATTCTAAGAAGATGCACTGAAAGGTTCATCAAGGCAAATATCGGTTTAATTATTCTCAGGTATGAATTGATGACAGTGGAGAAGAAATCTGTGTTTCTGCATCTACAACTCAAGGAAGACACTCCAGTTAGCATCTTGCCAAAATATCAAACTAGATCAGTAAATACAACATTTCACTCAGGTCATCCTGGTATACTCATTCCAAGACTAAAGACTACCCTACCTAATCTCAACTCCTCATCTTACAGATATCAATTTAACTGTTTCTGTGGAGTAAGTCATATAGGGTATACGATTAGACAGATGTGCACCTGGATACGTGGACATTTCCTGGTTAGGTTTGGAGAATGGGGGAGTGAAAGAGGTGAACAGGATCTATCTTAGCCCATCTGACAGACCCAGACCATCATATAGATATTATTCACACTTTCAATGTCATCCATTGTGTTCCAAAAACATGCAAACTCGTAGCTTACCAATGCCTACTCAACACGCTTGAAACTGAGACAATAATGGTTCAGTTGTCGTTTTGGCAAGTATGGAAAGGAAATGCGGTTTTCTTGCAGAATCTGCTACACCTATTCATCTTCCATTTAGGAAGTATGTTTGACTCAAAATTGGCTTGTTTTTATGTTGGACAATCTCATTTTAGACATGTAGTAAGTGATGAGAATTCATTGAAAAGTATACTCTCCGTGTTTACATTTTCTTTAATGTGGTTAATATATTTACAAGGATATATCTTTTTCATTGATAGCTCTTCTTCGAGTGATCACTTCGCTAGTTGGCTCTAATTCATCTATCATATAGCCGAATCATCCAAGAGAGTAATTAATGCAGATGAGGTGTCGTGTAAACAGATGCTTTCCGCTATACAAAAAAAATATAAATGCTACACTACATTCACTTATACCTGAGTCGAAAGTGTTAGAAACCAACTGAATACATCAGTATCCTGAAGTGATCGAGCGAGGGATAATAAATACACAAACAGTAATTATGCAATGAGACACTTGCAGTGTATACGAATAGCGATAGTTCCCTCTCATTAGCTCATACTTCACTGACCCACGAAAATATATGCAGACCGACCTGTGACTATCAAAAAGACTACTGGATAAAAATGCATCATTTAAATACATTTTTTTATGAACGTAAAAAACTACAAGGTCAGTAGTTAAATAGTTCATTTTGATTGGTCATCTGTGGAATAAAATTGTCCAATAAGGTTTTTCTGACCACTGAGACATATGAAAAAAAATTAGAATACAAAAACTGCTACCTTAATGGCTGATGACTTAAAATGTTGATTTTAGGTTGGAATTCACCACGAACTAGCACCAGTTGGAAGAACATTGGGGCTTCTCAATAGTGAGCACCCGTGACTCCTCACTGCCAGGGATCGAACCCTTCAGTTTCCATGACCAGCACGTTACCATTGACCCACTGGGTCGGAATCCATTCGTCCACATATCCTACTTCTGTCAGTTCGCGATACAGCCCGACCTACATCCAATGTCGTCGTTGAGTTACTGTCCACATGTTCGACTTGGTTGACTCCACTGGTCACGACTTCTTACCTCTCAAAGCTAGTCACCAATGAGAGCTAGATTAATTTTATCTGGAGGTTTTGTGGAGATTTATTAATTGATTTTAGGTTGAGATTTATCATGGAATGGACATCCCTGGCGAGGTCATGGGTTAGCACTGCTGAGGAGTCCCATTTGTCTTAGGTTTCCGGTGTTCCTTTAACTGATGTCAGTCCATGATGATTTGTAGATTGCACAGTCCACTTTGTTGCTTCTCACCACTGAGTAGTTTTCCAGCTGCCCAACTGCTGTGTCAACAGGTTTTTAATTTTCAAGACCAGACCTCAAGCAAAACAAGACTGTAAACCCAGCCTCCATAACTCAGTGGCAACGTCTCTGACTGTAGCACTTAGTGGTGCATGTTCAAATCTCAGGTGGGACATAAGTACAGATATGCCTTGTTGACGAGCACTAAGGCTTCTTGCCGATTTCCTCCGTCCAACTGAGATGTTATCTTTGAGGAAATTTTCGTGTCATGGGTGACATAAGTAACTGAAAACTACTCCCACTGGTCTGTTAACTTCGCTAGGGAGATCACATAGTGGCCTAAACACCAAAAGATTGTTTCTCACGTTGAAATCACCGTTGAGAAATTGAAGGACTGCTCAGCTGTGAGAAATGTCCATCCTGTTGAAACTATACTGATCCATCCAAGTCAGCTAACCTTGATTCAGCTAGTCTAAACAATTCTGTTCCATTAGTTGAATTTGTTCGTGTACACTAATGATAGGCTCAGTCACAAATGAGCCATACGACCATCCGTTGTTCAGCTCACTCTGATCTGGCTAGCAAAATCTTCAGATCAACTTAAATGGTTTCCAACTACTCACGCTTTTCAGTAGGGTATATTTAATTAGTGACCAACTGCTTGTATCTTAGACAAAATTATTTTGCCACATCTGGGATTAGCTTTGTTTAAAATAGGCCTGACAGCAGTCTAGTGTTTGATTGACTCTAATTTGGCTTTAAAGCTTAAAATCAGTGTGAATAGCGATGAAATATTTAAAGTGTTCAGTAATGAAATATTTTTCCTGAAAGTTTCGAATGGGTTCGACATACTAGGCATCACTTATGTCTGGTTTGAATGATTTAATTATCGAATAGTAGGGGACTCAAGCTTTTCACCCACTGTATATAACTCGCCTTTACTGAGGTTTACGCGAGTTTTTATTCTTGCTCTACTTGGGCTATGCAAAGAGTATTCAATTTCACAGTCTACAAGAGTATTTCTTATCTGCCCAGTATTTACCTTTAAAGAATTAGTGTTGGATATTTGTATGGTAAGATGTAAACCTTTTATTGGTAGCTTTCTCTAGATCAAAACAATATTTTAATGATATATTAGTCATCATTTTTGATAAATAATTATATTTAGCGTAGTTTGCATGTTTTTCAAGAGTACAGGAAACTCACCTATCAGAATTAAGACAACTAGTGTCGAAATTTTAAACAAATAAAATCAGCCAATCAGGAAGAAGGTACGCCTAGACAACCAATCATATTGAAGTTAATGAGTATTATGCATTAGAAATGCCAATGAGAAGTCGGTGAACTCTGAGGAAAGAAAATACACGATGAAAAGGTTACTTTTTTGATACTGGAACGTCAGTCATTGGCAACCTGAGTTTAAAGTAGATTTCTAGATAAATGCAAAACTATGCGACATGACACATTTCTATTCTGTTTGTTTTAATTTGTGCAAATTGCTTTCTTACAAAAACGAATGATTTTCTTGCTTTATTTTTCCCTAAACATTTCACTTTTGTTATTTTTTGAAATATTCGGTGAACTCAACACTTACATACTTGCTTAGAGTACCTTGACTGATTCTTCTGAATCCTATTAAACTAGTGTACTACCATTCAATGCATTGATATGTATACTAATTGCACTTTTACTGTTTTCCTTCTTTTTACCTCAGTAGATATATACTACTGAAATACTTGTACAACTACTACTCCCACTGGTGAAATAGATCACAAGTGCATCATGGGGAATTTTGTTGGACCAAGAAAAAAGTTGTCAAGAGAAGATCTAACCTTTCTCAAGGAAAATACACATTTCACTAAACGGCAAATAAAACAATGGTATAATGGATTTATTGTAAGTGATTGGTTGTTTAATTGACCATTGTTTTGTTCAAGAAAAAAGCATACGACTACTGGATTCCAATTATTTAAGTATTGAGTGCTGAATGTAGTATTTCGTTAACGGTATAATTTGACGTGATCAAAGTTAAATGTCTTCGTGTTCACTTGTTCACTGATTACGCAACAATTCTGAAAATGTAACATTTCAGAGGCAGTGACTTTTATACAAAGTTTAGGTGGTTAGATCTTAGGGCAAATGAAATGAAATCCCAGGTTGATTGTTACATGTTTTATTATCAAACTGAATGTCTTCATGCGTAACGTTAGTTGACAAAGGTGACTGTGGTGTTCATACTGAAATGAAAACGTCCATTAGTAAAAAGAACTTAAGATAACAGTTCAGTTCATGTATCCACTCATTTATTTTCAAAAATTAGTCACAAAATTTTAGCTAAATCAATAGTGACAATTACTCATATGGTGTCAAGACTAATTCTTCGAGTTGCTACTGTGTTTGTTTGAATAAAGTGTATAGATGACAATTTTAATCACTAGATTCAACAAGACAATAAATGGAGATGTAATTTATCTGAAACCATATGTGATGTATTAGCTCAATAAAGTTTGAACCATCCCCTCGAAAACTGATTTGTCATACATATTTACATGAGATACAACAGAGAAAATGAGATGAAAATATCTTCAGTGTAATGAAAGGTGAAACTGTTAAGTTTAGACAAGAAGAGAAAGTTAGCACGGTTGAACTCAACTTTAATGACAGCTAATCATGTTCGAATATGCAGTGACCAATCAGAATCAACAATATGAAGGTCAAAATAGTTATCAAGGAAAATGTTACTTTATTATCAGAACAATAAAAATACCTAGATTTTAAGTAGGTCTATCATCTTTGTAACCATACCGTTGCCACTAATCCATATGAGACAATATGAGTTAAATGATACTTAGGAAATTTCCCGTCATGATCCCGTTAAAGGTCTTAAGAACTTTCTAAAACTACTCCTCATATTTTCAAAGCTGTTTGTGTGTACTCTAGTTATCTGATCAATGAAGTGCCTTTTTTGAACTATAACTTGATGAGGGTAACCTATTTCAGCTAAAAGTATGTATGACTTCCAGCCGCTTCTGTATATTTTAACACTGAATGCTGCATAGTTGTGCAAAATTGTTTAGATACATTTTTCTGGGTAATTTAACTTATCCAATCCTGTTTAAGTCATCTTCCTAGGTTATATTTGAGTTACTGGACTAGACATCTATCTATTTCAAACACATTACCTACTCCATTAAATTTCACATACAATCTGCATTGTAATCTCCATATAGTTCATCAAGGGTTTATGCAGCTTCAACAACACGGTAAATGGATGTAACCAACCTGATTGGTTGTCTTCAAGGTTTCCAGTCACTAAAATTCATTTCAACCGTTAGCACATTAATCCTTCTTAGCATGAACGGTGAGTTACCAAGACTGGTCTAATTTAATAACAAATTGTTTCTGAATGCACAAAACAGGTTTAAACTTCCTTGTGACTTCAGCTAACCAGAGCTCTAATAAAATCAATAAGTTCTGTAGGTAGGTGTCAAAGGTGTAGAAAAGAATCAGCCTTATGATTCATTTCAAGATATGTCCAAGTTATAGACACAGTTGAGCATCTATTACCCGCGTCAGTGGGATCATTCAATTTGATTTGCTGTTGGAACCACTCCTGGTATCCCACTTGTTGTTATGTAGGTTTAATATTACAATAAGTGAAGAGATTAACTGAAACTACACTCAGAATTACTTATTTTATACGGAATAATGTCCACTAACATAAGGTCACGCTATGTAAAGGTTACATGGCAACATGCCGGATACCGAAAGTTATTAGGATTAGTTCTGCAGCCCTTAATTCCCTAGAATAACGGGTCCTTATTATTTATTTGGGACCTAATGAACATGTAAACTAATAGACATAACTGGGTGTAACCCATCATTTATGTGTTGCTGGGGTTAACAAGAGTAATTAAGTTTCGTTTTCTCGATGATGTTGGAGTTTTCAGATGGCTGCCTTTAATCTTTGTTTGCTGATAAGACTCTGTGAATCACCGACAGATATTGACTGTCTCATTTTGCTGGCGTGTTATGTAAACGTCTAAGAATGGTAGTGTCATAACCTTGTAGTCAGTTGATTTAACTTGAGGGGGCGCTTGAGCAATAACCTTCAGATTCCTTTCCTCCGCACCTTGACGGTCTCTCAGTTATTCGATAGTTGGGCAAAGCGGTAAAATAACAGAAAGTATATTCCAACGACAAAATTTATGCAAAATGTAGTGGTTCTTATACATTTATTCACAATGACCTTGACTATTTCAAGAATAGCGTATCTTATTGGTTTTTGCTGATTCAACCAATCTGGTATTTGCAATGTTGATTCACGTGTTTTTTCTTGAAACTTCGACGCAAAACGATTGGTTACAGAATGCTTCAGGGATATGCAGCTTCTCATGATGGTATTGATAATCTTATTGCTCACTATTACAGGTAGGCAGTCATCTTTTGATTTTTAACCCACCTATGATGCAATAAGTTGATATGTCTTGTCAGAGGTGATGAATAAGGCCTGTGGTGAAGTCAAATGCAGACCAGTGATCATGGGTTATCAACACTGTTGCCCTGATTGATCCAGGCTTACTGCCAGCTGTACTCATCATGCTCATTTTGATAGTGACGCCTACCATCCAGGATTATGTTATCTAATAAGCCTATATGAGCATGCTTAGTGTTAACCAATCAACTAATTCGGTGAAGCATATAGAGTTGCACAACTCATCACAGTTGAGTGGAACCATTGATGACTACAGTGATACTATGGTTCAGGTGGATTCACCTGATAAAACAATGAAACTGATATCCTGAAAGCTAACTCTTTGAATTCAGTTGTGAAGTCCTCATCCCACTTCATAATCGTGATCATCTGTGGAGAGAAGTTTACTGTCACCCACCTAGCAATATCATAATGTTTCATTCGCTTCTATAGTATGAAACGAATTTAGTCAGACAGCTGATTCTAGAAAGAATACAGGATCGTGAATTTGTCATTTAGACGTCAATAGAATATCGTACTCATTGACTAAAGTCAATCTTAACTCAGTATGCAAAGCATTAAGCAGGCAACGGTCTTCTGGACTCAGGTTAGGGTTCGCTTCAACTCTAGTTGGTATTTACACCTCAAATCTGACCTCATCAGTAGGGTTGTTTACATTCACCATCATGACAATGTAAAGTTAGCAATTAATTAGTCAGTAGATGGCAATCAAGATCACTTTTCAGTCCTCAGTATTAGTCGCATTTTATCGATCAGCCGCAATGTCAAAGGGAAATCTGAAATCATACTCCTTAGGTCATAACAATATTAACTTCTTGATAATGCCATTCTACCTTGAAACTTTTCATCTAAAAGAAATATGCACCTTTAACTCATTGCAAGGGTAAGGTTGAAATCTTCAGGTATCGTCAAGGGTGTACCTTTACCAAGTTATGTTTCAGGTCCCAAAACAGTACACAAAAGTACCTTCTATTCTATCCTCGAAAGTGAACAGCATTGAATGTATCCATTAGGGTGAAAATTCTTCAATGCAGTTACCAATTTGTATTAATTTTTCTCCTGATAACTGTTGTCCACAACGGAAGTAACTCAGATGATATCAAAATAATTTTTCATGTTTTAAATCCAAGATTTCACTCGGTAACAGTATATTAATCAATCGACAGTTCAAGTTATGCTATCTGATTAAGACCTGTTTAAAAGGAGATGAATAAGAAAACCTAAGCTAAGTAATGTCATGCCTGAGTGTTTATAGATGACCTTCATGATGTTCACAGCCTACGGTCGGAACTTGTCAGCATTGATTAGAGAAGTATATCTAAAGAATCTGGACAACTGATGTTCTTTGAAATGTTTGCACTTTCTTCATTCACTAGAGTACTTGATGTTTATTTCTTGGTAGTTTTCAAAGCATTCTGTTGCTATATAGCACCAGACACTTTTATAGTCTACAGAATGATTGAGAAAATCTTCGTAAAAAGTCGCACATGCTTAAAGCTTTTCAGTTTGCTTCGAAATTTCAGGAAAAACATGTGAACCAAAGTCAAGATATCAAGTTGGTTGAAGAAATGAAAAATCAATAGAATATTAATCTAGAAAGGCCTGGAAATAGTCTAGGCCATGGGCATATATAGATAAACCTTGTAATCTGTATAGGTTGTTGACGTTGTAAATAGACCTACGGTTGTATTACCGTCTTTTCAGAGGAACTGAGTGACTATTAAGGGTGGAATTTCAAGGTTGTTATCCAAGCTTCCATATAAACATAAGTAAAGCTGTATCAGGACACTGTAAAAAGATGTAAATGATCCGAACTTCGTTTCAGAAGCTTCTTACTTATCGATTAGAAACACACAGTTGAAGATAGTTCCCAGCTAACTGTCAGTCATGCATCTTGTCGGTAGTTTTCTATGTGATGCATTCAAATCCTACGCCTGTATGTTTTGGCCTTGACTAGAGCACATTTAAAGATATCTGTAGACTCCCCCTACTGCACTAATGGACCATGTAAGTAGTAAAACAAATCAAACGGTAACATTAAGATGCAAAATTGAATGCTAGACGTCACAAGTGACCAAATGTTACATTCAACTGCCAACTTTTCAACACACTTTTGAAATAAAAACACTTAGATGGAATCTGATGGATCAGACTGAAGTACATTACGTGTCTAACAACCATCAGACAGCTATTTAAAGATATTGTTGGTGATAAACTGACATCATTTGGAGGGGGAGACTTTCACTAAGCTGAAACAGCCGACAAGTGCTCACAGGTTCTCAACAGTTTTTCAACTGGCTGACAGTTTATAGTGAATATCATTTTAAAATAAGTCACTCATTCCTCACAAACCAGCAATTCAAACTGATGATGCACGTAGTCTGCATGAAACGTAAAGGTC